ATTTACTTCATGTTTTAATACTGATACTGCACCAGAAGAGTATGAGAATCTATTACAAGTCATACTCCACAATGTGTAGAACACCCATCTAAAGGAAAGAAGTTAAGAAAAAAAGGTAATTTCCTGTGTATAATAGAGTAAGCACAATTTGTGGGAAACATTTATCAATTTAAAATAGACATATTTCTTATAACATATTTATTAAACATAAAGTTGTCAAATAAGAACCATTTGCAGCGTCTATAAACCAGCCCAAGTTTTCTCCCAAGGCGAACTGTTCCTTAGAAAAGAAAATCAATCTCCACTGTTCATAAGACGGGTACTAATTACCTGTGTTCCCATGCTGAAATATTCATTACATACACATATGGCATCTAATATATTTTCGTCGTTAAACGACAAAGCAGTGTCTAGGAATGATTGAAATGATTTATGCCTCTTGTGAATTATTAATTATTTGATATGTTTCTGCCATGATTCTTCACAATTAATTCGGGTTCTAGAACAAAAATTGAGCATTTGATGTTCAAAGGAATCCCTTTTGTCTATACAGTTCACTTCGATTTCTAATTTTGTAAATAGGAATTTTATAAAAGTACCGTGCTCTTCCATTGTGTCATTGTGGTGTTTTTTAAACGATTTTCATGTACTTACAAAAAAAATTAACATTGTGTTATAAGTAGTTACAATAGGATATACGCAAAACTGCTATTACTGTATACAGAATAAAAAAAAATTCCAAGATCAAACTGAGAAAAGTAACACACTGTGTTGGGAAATAAGAATGCATATAACTCATTAGAGTATGTAATTTTGAAAAGTAGAAATATTTTTCATTCAGTTTTTTTTTTCAATAATATAGATAAAATGTTGGAATCTCTGACATATTACGCATAATACATGTATAACTTTTTTCTTAATTATTAATAACTCTATTCTCGCTAGGTTTCATGTGTACTTGATTCGAGTTAAAGAAAATTTTCACCACGACCAATACCTATTTGAATATAATTAAGCATTGAATTAGATGTAGTCTGGTAATTGCAATGGTGTTTGAAAACAAAATGAATAATGCATTTACTTAGCGCGTTGTGATTTTTTTTTTTGGTACACACTGTTGCAGTTACGAGACTATCTCTTAAAAAATCATAATAATGCATATTTTTACATTTTTTATATAACATAAGTAAATTTTCCGTTAGATGCTGGTTGTCCCCTTTTTTATGTTGTAAGGTCGAGCATTGGCAATTTCCAGGATTTGGACAGAGAATAAGTTTTTTTTTTGTCAGATAATATTAGGAAGTTGGGCCCCTTCCCCCCCCCCCGACCCCCCCCCCCCCCCACACACACACACACTTTTGGTATGTTTAGTTTTTTTTTTAATTTATTAATTTTTATTTTTGACTTGTCAGATATTATTTGGGAAGTCCCCCCTTTTGAAACCGTTGCTACGGGCCTGAATAAATCAACCTTGAAAGGACTTATTGCTGACTTGTTCAGTCGAGTCATTAGTTTTATCATTTCCACATTAGATTTAATACCACTTTTTTTACTGTCATGAATAAATATCGATAAATAATAAGTAGGCAAATCATTTCAAAACAAAAAGATAAAAGCTTTAAGGTAACGATTCAGCGAAAGATACTGAAGGAAAAAGAACAAGATATGAAAGCCCTAAAAAGTAATTAAAAAAAGTGTTTCAACATTATCATGCAAAATAGAAGGTGTTTTTCTTAATTATATAGTTAACTTTATCGGAAAAAAGTGTGTATTCTTACTTCGAAAAAGGTAATCTTTAAGTGAAAACATCATTAGTAAAACAGCTAGTTTAAATGAAAAGTGATTTGGATAAATCAGCCTCTCGAGTATATATAAATTTATATAAGCATAAAGAGACGAGTATGAGATGAAGTGGCTAGGTTAATGTCACTATGTATTCCTACGCTAGGGTTACTGTTATAGAGCAAAGACAATGATCGGGCTACATGACCATAAACTGAGAATTAAACTAAGTCAAAATTTCAGTTTGATATAACCAATAAAATATTGATTAATTACACGTCAAAATATTTATATCCTTCGGTTCATATTTTACTTGTCCAAAAATAAAGAGTTTAAGGAGAAATAACACAACTTTTTTCAGAAATCAGCAATATATTAGATTTGTGTTCATTTAGATAAACTTAAATAATATTTGCCAGATTAAGCGTGGAAATGTTGTTAGATTTTGTAATGATGTCATAAAACGTGCGCAAAAAATGCATAGCTTATATTGAAATGGCACAAATATTCTGACACCAAAGAAAATTTATGATTTCTTCATATTTAAGGAATTTGTCATTTATGTCATTTCTATTCAAAATCAGTCAAAAAACGTACATCAATCCATGTGTCATATTTTCTTTATGTGTTCTTTATCTTTACCGAAAATTCTAGTTTGGAGAAACTTGAAATATTAAAAAACTGTTACACAAAAAGTTGATCAAAGAAACTTATTTTATAAAACAAAATCCTCCTTTTAAAACTTGAAAAGGAGGGTATGCTAAATAAATCTTATATATCAAAAAGACTTAAAATTTAGATATTTTAAATTCATTAATTCATTTTATTGAAATTATTACATGATATATAGTGTATATAAAAAGGCCCGTGTCTTCTGGTGCTTTCATGACATAATGGTTTTTCATCGGTAAATCTTCACTGCAAAAATTATCTAAGATGACTCATTGTTTATGAGATATTTCATTTAATGAACTGAGCTTTAATTTTAAGCATATTTTTTGCACATTATTACTTTTAGTCTGTACACTAAAAATAAGGCCTTCTGGTTTATTACATTTTTCTCTGCGCTGTACGAACAAGCAAGCTTCAGATGTTGTCCCATGAATTTTAATTATCTTAATTGTCTTCTTATAATATTTGTCGGAGAAAAGCGGGTTTTTTTTCTATTAAGATGAAAAACATCAAATATGCAAGAAAGAATTCATTTGACATTGTACATGAAAATTAATGAAACATGCTCGAGTAAAGGTTGCTTAAACGCTTTCATTTACTATTTATTTTTTCTTATAATGACAGAGTCTACTAATCCTCCGACAAAAAAGTGTTCATGAACCCAGTCATTGGTTCATTAGTTGCTTTAAGAACTAAATTAGTGTATTATATGTATTACATAACAAAAATAAACTAAATGGTTTTCAATACAGCTAGCTAATCTTACTTGATACGTAAATATTTTTCTTAACCTCACTCGAAGATTTTGCTAGATATTGATTGGCTGCTTTCACATTGGTTGGTTTCTGATTGGCTAATTTCACAGCAGAGACAACTGGTGTCAGATTTTTGCAATAATTACCTAATAAGGTATGCATTGGACAAAGCAACAAAGCCAATAATATTCCTATGATACCTACAAAAGACACAGCTAGTTTTCAGCAATTGAGAGGAGACAGCGTTTTAAAAAATGCTAAATTTGACAAGCCGTCAAGAATTAAAAATTTTTAAAGTAACAAGCAGAAATTCAGAGGTATGGATCAATTCATGAGAGATTCCATTATTATTCAAACGATCGATGGCATTTCTAAATCGATTGGCTGATGGTTAACCAAGCTCCCGATTCGATCGATTTCTACCTGGTCCTCTGCAAAACAATGCAGAAACTTACAATGCAAAAAAACACGTGCTTAGGGAGACTTGGTTTGTTTCATTACACGTACTATGCGTTAACTTTACCAGCGATCTATCGATTCTCTCGGTAAGGTTTTGTAAAATGAGTTGGAATTCGATGAAATAGAAATATCAATACTGTTTGGACCCGTAGAAAAATCAAATGGGCCATAGAGGTTGTAAAATAACATTATACAAATAGCTTTGCAGTCGTGATGGTATTCATCGGTGATGTATAGATTGGGCTTTTTGAGAAATATTTGATGAAAATTGTTTTAAAAGACCACCTGGACCTGAAGCTAAAAGAAAGGACCTTTTGTTACAAACTGTTTGAATATGTTTCGACATGAAAAAATCATATGCAGAATGTTTCATGCACGAAAATGTTGAATAAACCAAATTTTCAATTCCAAAGGAATGCTGGCGTTTGTGTTTGCCCAGAACTGATACTTTTGTTCTTACTGATGGATATGATTGAAGTTTAATTGTATATTGAACCATATATATGGCATGGAAGCAAATGAAAAAAAAAATCCACTGAGAAAGTTAAAAATAATACGAATGAAATTGCTCAGAAATAAGTTCTAAGACTTCGACCAAATTCATTATGTCATTTTCCATTGAAATCACCTGTTTTTGGTTATTCTTTTCTTATAAGCTTTTTGTTGTTCTTTGAGCCACTCAAGACACAACTATTTATTCTTTGAATATAATGTTCTGTAATTTTAAAGAATGTATGTACAAGAATGTGTACAATCAACGTTTTAGATTTGTTCTCAAAAGTTCAGGTTGTGATATGCGGTATGCGAGAAAAGATAAAAATTTATGGTTTCCATCCAAAATTAAAAAGAAGCACAACAAAACAAACAAAAACCAAAATGAAAAAAACAACAAAACAAAACAAAAACAAACATACATAAAAAAAACTTTTTTTTTTAAACAAACAAGCTAATAAATGAAAATTAAAAAAATGGCAACAACAAATACAAAAATACATGTACATATATAAACAAAACGACAAAAAAATTCCTTTAATGACTTCATTTGTTTTAAATATTTAAAATAAAGTACTATTTCAAATGATCATGTTACCGGTAATAATAAATCAGTATCTGAAAACTGGGTTTAAGTACATTTAGTTTTCACAGATGAATATTCCTGAATTAAGTAATACCAATATGGTACACTTCATGCAATAAACATGATGTAAACATTTATTTTTTTAATTAACCTGTAACAGAAGCCAGTTTTACATGTATGTGAAAAGGTAATTGAAAATATGAAACACCTTTGTAAATAATAACGTAATCCGAATTGTCTCTGTTTCGTTTCAGGCTTGATAGTGTTCTAGGGAGTTTCGCCACGTACGCCCGGCTGAAAGGCCGCTATGACGACGATTGGATAGATAGACTGAATCATCTGTACACCACCATCATCTTCATTATCTTTACAATCGTCGTCAGCACCAAGCAATATGTTGGAGAACCAATTCATTGCTGGTGCCCAGCTGAATTCATGGAATCGATGGTGGATTATACGAACAATGTCTGCTGGATCCAAAACACGTACTATGTCCACCTGGATGACGATATCCCGAAGTCCCAGCATGCTCGGGAAGATCGTCAAATTACGTATTACCAGTGGGTACCGATGATTCTGCTTTTTCAGGCGTTGTTGTTTAAGGTCCCATGTATTCTATGGCGTATCTTGACTGCTTCCGCCGGAGTTAATTTGGATAAGATTGTGACGTTAGCGGCGGAAACACAGTACATTTCACCTGAAGATCGGGATAAGACGATAAGACATATCGTACGATACATGGACCGATGGTTAGAAAATGCCAGGGAGTATCGGTCCGGATGTTTTATACGATTACGTCAGACAATATCTAAGTATTGTTGTATTGTCTGCGGAAAAAGATACGGGAATTATCTCGTGACTATATACATGATAATTAAATTGTTGTATATGACGAATGCAATCGGTCAACTATTTATCCTCAATGAGTTTCTGGGAACAAATTACAATGCTTATGGGTTAGAGGTAATGCAGCATTTGGCCGAGGGAACAGAGATGGTTGATTCTATGAGATTTCCTCGAATAACTCTCTGTGATTTTAAAGTACGAAGACTTGCAACCGTGCAACAATACACCGTCCAGTGTGTGTTGCCAATTAACCTTTTTAATGAAAAGATATTTATTTTCATTTGGTTTTGGCTAGTGTTTGTTGCTGTGTTGAGTTCAGCTAACTTTCTTATATGGTGTTATACAATGATATTTAGACAGCACAGAGTACGGTATCTAAAGAAATTTTTGCGCATTAATGATTGCTACAAGTCAGAACTTGACAAAAAGATGTCTGTTAAGTTTGCCGAGCAATACCTGAGACAAGATGGAATTTTCGTCTTAAGACTTGTAGGAAAAAATGCCAATGACGTATTAGTTAGCGAAATAATACTTCAACTTTGGACTCATTACAGAAGCAAACCGCTATTTAAACACGCCAACCAGATGAGTGACGATAATAGCAATGTATGACTAACCGCGCAAAAACTTCTCAAGTTAGTGAAAAGTCAGTATTTGATGTATCCCTGCCAAGATGGTACTCCTAATTGTGACGTCATAAAGGTAGATATGTCATCAAACGGGTACCTGCGAAACGAACAGTTTGAGACAGAAGTCTAAGACAGGTGTAATCTAATGAAACGTCCACAATTCTTTTTAGTTCTTTCGATTTCATATGATTTATATAGAATGGATATATGCAAAACAATATGCATCTGTGTTATGTTGTAGCAATAATAAGTTACAATTGTAAAAACATTTTTCCTAAGTTTAATTTTCGTACATTTAGCTCCCAGTGGAATATGTAAACAATGAAATGTACAGAAATCCTTTTCGTTTTTTTTTTTTTAAAGAATATGAAAACAGTGCATGTGACAAACGTTCTGCCTGCTTGTAATTACAGCTAAACAAAGAATAAGACAGTTTGAGAATTAGCAGGAGAGTTTCCCATTAAGATTATATAAAACAATTCATTTAATCCTAGATTGATATTATATTGGTTTTTAGATTTTAAAAAAATATGGAATAATAAACATAGGAACAAAAAAGTATTTGTACGAGATTATCAAAAAAAAAAAATGTCATAATCTAATACTCAGCTAAATTAAAAAGATATTCAATGATTTCTACGTAATTGCATGTAATAGGCAATTTAAACAAAAACGTTCACTTTAATAGTCGTATACACACATGAAATGTGCAAGTGTACCTGTCTACAAAATATTGCCAAAATTACCCCACTGCCAATAAATCCTGGAACAGCGTTCCAGAACATTTTTTGATTATTGTCCAAAGGCAGTTAATTTTTACCTCCCTTCGTATTTTGTAAAGCGCAGCTTGTTCGATGATTTGCTTTTTTTCCTTTGAAGTTTTTTTTTTAAAAAATACAAATAGGGTAATAAAATCCCCTGGAGACCAAATATAAATAATTTAGAATATGGAATTACGCATGTCCTGAGAACATTCTTTTGGATTCTTTCTTTTATCTGAGGAAAATGTCATATTTATTAATATTTTTAAGTATAAAATGAAAATAAAAAAGGTGGATCCTAAAAACATTCTCTAAAGTAATTGGGATGGAAATTTCGGCATCGCAGTTTTGAACATTTTGATGGGACTATTTTATCTAGTCTGAAGAATAATGCTTGGAATTTCATCAGTTACTATTTATACAAAGAAGTGAATAAACACAGAAGCCGTATCGGGCTTGTAATTTCGTGATTTTGAAAAAAAATAATCAATTATTAAAACACAGTTCTGATGTTAGGCTTTCTAGTTGCAATAATGAGAATTTTAACACATTCAACAGAAATTTTTTTATTCCTGTCATCTTTTGACACTAAATTTCCCTGTCTTAAGAATAAAAAAGAGATTGTTATTATAATAGATCATTTTATTTGTATTTTACCATTTTTTGGTCACTTGAGCCTTACGAAATGACACGTTTGGTACAATTGAGTACCCTTTGATCTTATTCTTTATGTCTCTTGAATTCACTCTCAAGAGTTTGCATATGTAAAACAGTCAGAGGAATCAATAAACTCGGCAGTTATTGATTAGGACTTTTCAGAAGTCTTATTTAGTTTGCCGATCTATGATGATTAAGTGCTTAGAATAATCAATTGGTTTTTTTTTTTAATTGTGTATGCATGCTACATTTCATCACAGTCAGTATTTGTATAAAGAACCTGTAGGTGTACGCTGTGCATATTTAGTCACTCTGTATAAGAGATATTTATATACACTGCCCTCTCGCCTCTTACCTGGTGATACAATATTGAATATTTTCTTTAAAGAAGTTACCCGCTTATATGTGGTATTGTTCACATTTTTCTCCGTGTTCAGTGACTTTTCTGAAAAATTCAATAATATTAGAAATGTATTCCAAGCAAGAATTCCATTGTATTAGTTTATTTTATTTTTTTTTCTTTCTAGGAAACGTAATTCAAGAAGTGGTAGCTATGAAATTGAAGTATATTTGATAGAGAAAGTCGTTTTAGCTACGCAGTATTACGTAGACCTGTTAGGATTGTACATAACTGTTTGGTGCACCATTTCTCCTAGCCTTATGATCCAGAGACCTCATGATGTATTTATCTAAAATTCCCCAACCAGGGAAAAGATAAATACAGATACACATCTCTGGTGTCATCTTAGAAGAAGTGGTACACAGGTACGAATTACTGGCTGTTTGAAATTATGTTTCGAAATATTTATTACCGTGTTAAATACCTTATCCAAAAACCCTGTTACCTGTATTGCATATAATACAAGACCATTGTTCCGAATTGAGTACCGTTGTATTTGTACATATCTGGTTGTGAATGACAAACCATCTGATAATTTCAGTTTTAATTTTAATTTATCGGACTTTTGTGAAGTACTGTAGTTGTTAGAAACTGAGGAGTTACGTAGTTGTTGTCTTGTAGTGGTAAACATGTTCACCACTTTCAACTTAAGTTGTCACTTTTTTTGTTATAGATCTCTGTTACTGTTTTTAGTAAGCTTTGATACAAGTGCAATAATAAGACACTGTAAAATCATGCCAAGTTAATTTTTAAGTCCTTCAAATTCATAACATAGAAAACATAGATTTGCGAATTCTTTAATTTCTTCAAAATATCTTCTAAAATTAAAATTTGTTTGCAAAAGTGATAAGATTGAACAAACAGAAGTGTAACTCTGTAACGGACAAACTTGAAATGTGCGACAATAATGGTTTCATAGAAATTTGACAAAAAGCTGGGGTTTTTTTTTTAAATAATAAATATTCATGATCTGATTTTCTTATTTCATGTTGGTTCATACATGAGTATAGGGAAAATGAACTATCATTTACTCACATTTTTTAAGTTTCCTGTATGTTCTATGATCTTTTTTTTTAATGTATAAATAAATAGTATATATTCATATGTTAGAACTTAGAAATGACCTGGCATGATCTGATATCATTATATAGCTAACCTTTTTCATTTCTTATTCAACTTTTTTCTTCGGTTGTAATTTTTATGATTCTATGCAAAACAGCATAGTGTATATTATTAATGCTTTTGCATTGCTATTTGGTTTAGTAAATTGTTATATAACATTTATCGTTTTTAATAATAGTTTATAAATAGAATAATAAAGTTTAACATAAACATTTTCTATAATGAACTAGACCTAATTTACAAGAAAAGGTTAATACCGAGATCTAGTTGTCCAAGGAATCGTGGTTTAAAAAAATTGAAAATCAATTATGATCATAGGAATATGTACCTTTTTGTGATAGCACCAAAGGGTACCACCAATAAAGTACGCATGCCCAGCAGAGGTCTTTTTCTGTAATTGATTTAAGGTAGCATGACTACACTCATTCTTTTTTATCTAAAGAAAATCATTGAAATTAAGATGTACGATCTCCATCTGTTGGTAAGGGCATAATGAATTGTTTTTGCTCTTCGATGTTTCTCGTTGCGCTATCCGAAGCGTTGCTATTTATGTAGATGGTCCTCAATCACAGATGTGTTTTGGTACTGTATATCGTGACAATAACACATTTCTCAGTTGTTTTTTTTTTTTTTTTTTTTTTTTTTTTTTAGAATAAGTTCCTCGCCTTAAGGAAGTTTGAGGCACCAGTAGGGAGGTTGGAAACAGCTGTAAATGTTATTTTCTCGCAACACATCATGTCCTTACTTTTAAATGACCAGCTAAATTTGCCAAACGTTCATGCACTTTGTTTCAGTAATGCTACTTAGAAATTTTTATGTACTAGCATACAATTTTTCAGGTATTACTCAGTGTAGATTAATTCATTACGTTTGAAGTGTAATGTTAAGGTTTCATTGTGAACTTTGTGTACATATAGTCCTCATTTATGGCCATTTGTTCCAGTGTTTTTTACCATGAATAAACATGACCAAAGTGGTATCAATACTTTGGTTTTTTTTTTATTTATAAGAAATGTCAAGTAAACGTTCACTTTCTTCAATTGCAATTAACATCACATAGAAATGGAAATTCTTTTCAATACGTAGGTATGTACGTATATTGTAGAACTCCACTGAACGAGAAATTAAAGAGTTTCATACTTAAGTGGCTGAATATAGCATTAAAACATTATGGAGTGTAAAAAAAAATCTTATGCCTCCAAGTCTCATGACTGATTTTGTCTAATGGTCCAGGTCAGGATCAAAACATGTCTGCTGTATAAATCTTTCCAAAAAAAGGGGGGGGGGGTAGCTTTGCAACTGTTAAAACTGAAAATTGATTAGACAGCGAGTAATAGTAATATATGGCAGGAAAGGGACCACAACCCAAAGCATTTATCAAAAGACGCTGAAATATTTGGACTAAATGGTAGTGCCAGAAAAACTGTAACTTACACAACGTTTTAATGGTTTCTGAGATACTGAGAACTTCATATCATGGCCTTGTACCGTTCGAAGATGTCAAAGTAGCTCCAAGTTAAGGTGTAATTTTTCTGTGCAAGAATTAACAGAAAATTCATTAACAGAAAATTCAGTAACGTCTAGACATTGAAGAGAAGCACCAAAAAATTATAGACGATGCTTTGCAGGCCGAATCATGCTTAAGTTGTACAGATTAACCTTCCCAGTCGTGTGACAGGATATATTTCCAAATCATACTCGACAAAACGTCTGTCTAAAAGAAGAAAAAAAGACCTGATTAAAAGCTGCTGATGTAAAGCCGTAAATTCTAATCCAATCAAGTTCTTTGATAGTTGTTAACAGAGAGAAACCCCGGATGTTGTTGTCAGTTTCCCTTCAATCTGTAAAAAAAATGAAATGCGTTATCATTGACTGAGATTTGAATAATGACATTGCACCAAACAGACATAATTTAACGGATGAACTCTTGTCCTTGAAATCTTAAGTGAAACAGAGGATGTAGCCACCACGAACAATTACAAGAAACCTTATAACAACAAAGGCGACTCTAATCTTCTTTTCTCTTCGTAAGGAGTGTAATATGAATCCGAGAATCATAGATGGGAAGTAACGCTAAAACAAAGTCAAGGTCAATGAGAAGCTACATGAAGGTTGTTTGACCGCTTTCGATACACCTTTCTAAATTCTTCTTTATACCATACCTGACTTTTTTTAATACAGCTGTATTTGAAGTATTTTGTCCTTGGATTGAAACTTATGTGGAGAATCCCAGTGATTGATTAATATTAGTCTAGTAATTACAGATTGTCTGTAACGTTAATCTAAATGCGAGACTTATGTAAAGTAGTTTACGGGTAAAGAGAACTGTGGGGGTTAGTCAGAGACGAAAATACCAAGGTTTACAATGTATTTTACACTAAGTGATTAAGTAGATACAGTCTGTCCTCGACTTTATGTAGTAAGAACACATCGTCTCTCAACTAAAGATTAAATTACAACATTTGTAAGTATGGTATCGATCTTTTATAGGATAAAAGCTTTTGAGCAATAATTATGCACTTCAGTAGAAACATATTGTGAAGAGGGAAAACAACATTGAACAAAATCTATCCATCTCAGCATATGTACACTCTATGTCATGAGTGTACATTCTCTGATTTGAGTGTACATGTGTACATTTTTTGTCATGAGTGTACTCTCTAAGAGCATCTCAGTATGTTCTGTTTTTAGACTGAAGGATTTTTTTCTCCAAATAACTTTGATGGTTTATTTTCTTTCAGGAAAAACAGGTGTCTTCCCTTTTTCTCGGTTACATTACTGTACTAGCTGTCGCCCCCGTGGCGCAGTGGTTAGAGCGTCTGCTCTAGAATCGCGAAGTAAGGAGTTCGAATCCCACTGTGGGACATGGAGACCGGTCCTTCGGATGAGACCGTTTAAACCGAGGTCCCGTGTCGCAGTAGGTGCTGGCACGAAAAAGATCCCTCACTGCTCAATGGTCGTAAGTGCCGAGTATAGGACAAAATTTGCAGCTCTCCACCGGCAAGTGGTGGCGTCTCCATATGAGTGAAAAATTATCGAGATGGACGTTAAACAATATACAAACAAACAAACAAACTGTACTAGCTTTCACAATATGACCGTAGTGACCTTTGTTAATGGGACTTAAGTAAAGGTCACGAACATCTCTAGGCCATCAGCGACAACATACTCGTTTGAGTTCATATACCAACCACGAATTTGTTGCTCAAATGACCTTGAACTTTGAGTTATTACCCTTAAGTTATGACGCACCTCTTTGGTATGAATACCAACGATCTAAAGTTTGAAGTAATTCCATTCAAGTGTTTGAGAGTTATGGGTAGAACAAGATTTTGTTACAGACAGACAGACGAACAAGTGTCAAAATTAATAATTCTGGTTAGGAAGACATAAAAAGTGTACAGTTGTTGTGCACTCTTTTGTAAAATTTAACAGAACACAAAACAGGAACAGGACACAAAATCAGGTTCTAGCTCTACTGGTCATCTTTTTGCAGTTTTAGTTTAAATTAAGATAAACTTGGTACAGAAGTAGACTTCACAAAAATTACCCAGTTCTTTATCATGATTTTTTAATTTTTTTGATTTTGACGAACTGTTTCATTAATGATAATCATCAGAATAATTAGTTAAATCATTTTGTACCTAGATGTTTATCGAAATCAGTCCAAACTGTAAAAAAAAAGTTGTAATTTAAAAGATTTTACGGATTATTCTTTAGTAGAGTGGCCATTTATTGAAATCAAATTCGATGTTTGGGAAAAAAAAACATTTAAAAGCAACAATATTACAACAATACAAAGAGGCAATTCTAGAGATTCTTATACGAGGGAGGAGGAGGAAAAACAAAATACCGAACTCCAAAATTACCTGATAAGTAAAAATAACCATCAAACTCTTTTGACGGGGGAGGAGTGTCTTTACACTGTGTTAGTAATATAACGACGGGAAAAGGGTAAAAGAAAACATCCAAATCATCTGTAGGAAACCCTTTTCTTAAGGTGGAGGAGGTCACATACGATAAACTCTAGACTGGGTCCTTGGTAGCATAATCCAATAAATTCATTTATGAAATATGAAGATAACGAACAGTATTCAATCTCGAAAGTCCATTGAAACGATACAAATTTGGAGCAGAGCAAACACGGACCTCAAATTTAGAAGTGGGATCAGGTGCCATGGAGGAGTGAGCATTCCCTGCCGACCGGTCACACTCTCCGTGTGCTCCTTGTCATGATCGGAAAACAAAAACCGGGAAAATCCGTAGACAGGTCAGTGTATACACAATGGCATAACAAGTAGTATGAAAAATAAGTCAGCATTTGACACAAGGATAGGTTGTATGTGCTAACAAGGTCACTGTATCGACCGAAAAACTTGCGAAAAGATGACTTCAGACGAGACTGTAGATATCCTTGTTTAGTCAACTTGTCTGTCAATAGCTTGCATCGTTTTAGAAATTGTTCATACGTAGAGCATGCTCTTGCGTATCGAATCAACTGAGAGACATAAACCCCAAATGCAGGTGTTAAGGGTATATTGCTACATAAGTAAGGGAAGTTGACGATTGAAAAGTTAAAGTCATCACGTTTATCATAAAGCTTGGTTGTTAGGTACCATTAACGTCTTTTTCTAGTAAAATATCTAAAGATGAAACAGATGTGTCAGAATCTGTGGTCTCTTTTATTTCAAGCTCACTGGGATATATCGAGTCGACATATAAATGAAAGTAACTATTGTTAATTGATATATCGAAATGTCGAGTTGAAGGCCACTGCAAGTGTTTTCTTCTTCTCAAGTAGAAGTTTTTTGAATAAATTCTGCTTCATATGAATACAAAAAATAGGTCTGCTAATAAGGGGGCGCAATTGGTACCCATGGGAATTCCAACAGATTGTTGGAAGACCTGATCTCCAAAAACTACATAGATATTGTCAATCAGAAACTCAAGCATCTTTTTAATATCAACTTCAGAGTACTTGTGTGTACAATCAGAGTGCTTTTTAACAAAATAATTTTGTAAATGACCAATGACAAGGTAAGTATATTTACGAGTTCCAT